CCCCAAAACCCCAAAACCCCAAAACCCCATAATTTATGAAAAATTATTAAGAAATGGAAAAATATATTCCGATCCAAGATCCAGGTAAGCCTAATTTCACAACTTCTGACTTGCTTTAGAACTCAATGATACGATAAGTTTTGAGCACATGCCTGGCACCATCAGTCCTGAGAGCCAGGACCTCCTCCAAACCGGTACTGAAGAGAGTGCTAAATACTGAGAAGAGAGTAAGAGAAGTCTTGATATGAAATATATTAGTAAATATCTCCTTAATCTTCCTAGTGAACTGCTATGACGCCACTAAGTCTTACCTCCAAGCCTGAGATGGCAAGGGCGATACAAATAGCCTTGATCTTAATATTGGCCAGTTTTTGACAGAGCTTGATGAGAATCATGATGACAAATATTTATCAGGAAATATGAAATATGCTTATAGCATGAACACTTATAGCTGAATGTATTCCGCTTGTTTCCAGGCTCTGATCGATAGAATTGAGAGCTCTGACTCACAGCTCTCTCAATGTTTTTGGAAAATCAAAGCTGGCTATAACAAGTTGATTACCAGCTACTTTACCAAGGTAAATGAAATAGATGAAGAAAATAAGGTATTTTTAAGCTAATTTCAGATTCTTCAAGAAGAAAATTATAAATAATAAACCTCTTGTGAGTTCAGTAGAAGAGGATCGACCCAAAACTGTACTCTCCCTTGCTGTGACACTTTAGATTCAGAAGAGTATGAATAGGTCAAGGAATAGATTAAAGACAGGCACGTCTCTCTCGAAATCCAAGTCATCAAGGTCTAAATCAACAAAATAGATTTAAATCGTTTATGTATGGCTAAACTTTACCTCTAGGGGATCGAATAGGAACTTGTCTCCTGCATCAAGTACTTTGACTGTGTTTTCAAAGTACCGGACTAGAGAGAACCGTCCTCGGAAGAAGAGTAAAATTTGTCTGAACAACGTGTTTAAGTCTGTAGATGAAAAACCCAAGGTAAGATTTGCTCTAACTTTCTAAGTTGCTTCCATTGAAATCGCTAAAGGTTCTTATTGAAGAGATATGCGAGTCTAAGGAAAATTTTGATAAAAAATGTATACTTATCGAACAGCAATGAGAAACGATGGAGCAGTATTTGTACACATATCTCAACCAGAAGTACGGGCTTAAGTCCCTCGTACTAGACTGGGTCACTACTATTGTTAATTCAGTAAACGTGTATTCCCATGAAGGTAAGTTCATTCAAAGTTATTTTAGAATCGGACCCTGATGTAATCCTGTTTGGGAGAATTCTTAAAGAAGAGTGTGATTTCGAGTAAGCTCCTTGGCTGACTCTCTAGTTTTTATAAATTCCAGAAACATACCAAATTAGTTATTCAGAACCTTCTATTAGAGTTTTTACAAGAAGGGATGAAGTCTAGCACAAAGAAGAAAATCATGGAAAGACATACAGCTCTGGTGTCAGGGGATTTATCATGTAGCTACTGGAGAGGCATACTTGACCGACTTTATGATAAAGAGAGTTGTGAATTTATCATAGAACAAGTGCTATCAGAGATACATAGTTCTAGAATAAAGTTCCAGTTGAATGATTCACCTAAAGAGTATGGGATAGGTTTGATCATTTAGAGGGCAAAGATCTACTCAGAGCATCTCCTATGAAAACTTTGTAAAAGTCATCCTCAAATTCCAGTTGGATAGACAGTCTATGGCAAAGAACCAAACCAACAATTTATGCCATAAGGAAGAGGAAGACCTTGTCATTGCTAGAGACGAGCCGGTATAAATGATTTTGCTTAACTTTATTACAAAATTAAGATTCTTGGCATATTGCTAGAATTATTAGATTTCTGTTTTTAGGATTTTTTAAAGCAAATCATCAAATAAAGGAAGATCGAAGTCATCATTCTCATTTACTTTTCTCCTTTTGTGGGCAAAAATTTGATCTTTTTCAATAATTTTCTTCTTCTCATAAAAATCTCGTTCTTCTCTCTTCTTGTCTTTAATTTTCTTCCGGAATTTTTCCATGAGGCTGCCACCATACTCCTCTGCACGCTTAAGTTTGTCTTTATTAGTGATTTTAACTGGTTCTTTTGATTCATTTTCCCAAGATTTTTGGCTGTCAGGGAGGCTTTCAGGTTGCGAATCTTCCTGTGGTTTTTTTGAATCATCAATAACCTCCATTAGAGCATTCATAACTGTAGTGATATCCTCAGTTTCCAGTCTTTCGATTTCTTTAAGGACCCGATGCTCGTTTACAGTAGAGTTCTTTGTCTGGATTACTGATTTTCGATTGTATAGATCCTTACCGTTAGAACACCATTCGTTATGAGGCTTGAGTCTTCTTGACTCATTTAACTTCCTATAATAGCTATAACTACCACTACAGGCTTGGGTGCCATTATATGATGTACAAGAGAGGAACACCTGCTCGCTGGTTGACTTTAGAAGTTTAAAATAAGTCAACTTTTTGAGGATTTTTGTAGGTGGTTTCCTCTCGTACATTTCAGCTATCTCGCTTTTTAGAGTCTCCTTCACTGTATCAAGCAGCATTTCAGACTTCTATTTTCAACAGTGAATCATCAAAATGGGGTTTTGGGGTTTTGGGGTTTTGGGG